AAAAAATATTATATATTCTCAGACACATTTCTCTATCTCTCTGAATATTCAGAATTCTACATATTTTGTTTCTCATCTATTTAGAGAAATTCAGAAAAGGTACATATCTCCTTTATAGAAAATTTAAAATGCTTGGCAAGTCTACTTAAAACTAGTCAACATGCAAAGAGAATACAGAGCTGGAGCTAAGAAAAGCAATACCCTTCACAAGAGCTAATCACAAGATTAAATATTTGGGAGCAAATATAACTAAAAGCACAAAAGATCTATTCAAAGAAAATTATAAAACATTATTACAAGAAACAAACAAACAAAAAAGCCTGGAGAAGTGGAAGAATATCCCTTGCTCATGGATAGAAAGGCTCAATGTTGTGAAAATGGTAATACTACCTAAGGCAATATACACGTTCAATGCAATCCCAATACAAATACCAATTCCATTCTTCAACGAGATGGAAAAGACAATCTCCAGCTTCATTTGGAATGGAAAGAAGCCACGAATAAGCAAAGCACTTCTTAAAAATAGAAAAAAGGTAGGAGGCATCTCACTCTCTGATTTAAAATCCTACTACACTGCCGTGGTAGTCAAGACAGCACGGTACTGGTACAATGACAGACACATAGATCACTGGAATAGACTGGAGAACCCGGAAATCAGCCCATCTATGGTCAACTGATTTTTGACAAGGAGATGAAATCAGGTGGGGAAATGACAGCCTTTTTAACAAATGGTGTTGGTAAAATTAGAAAACTATCTGCAGAAGAATTAAACAAGATCCCTACCTCACTCCATATACAAAAACCAACTCAAGGTGGATAATGGACCTAGGACTAAAACCAAGGACTATAAACTTCATTAAAGAAAAGCTTGGAAGAACTTTAGTAGTCCTAATACATAAAGAGTCCTAAAACATAAAGAGTCTTCCCAGTATTCTGAAAAATTTACAACCAGGAGAAGATAAAATAGATGAATGGGATCTTCTAAGAATCAAATCCCTATGTGCATCGAGAAACTTCTCTAACAGGGTAAAAAGGGAAGCCACAGACTGGGAAAAAGTGTTTGGTAATGACATGTCAGATAAGGGACTTATATCTAGA